ATATTATAAATATATTTTTTGTGCCCAGAGTGTTTCAGTTTTATCCAGTTTTTTTTCTTTTTTTTTATAAATAGCCCCCATAAAATCCAAAGTTTAAGTTTAATTCTCATTCATCAGAAAGCACCATTAACGTGGACCTTTACCACCTTTGGCTAAAAAATCCCATAAGCATGCAGCTCTGCATGCTGATATGAAATCATCTTACATTTTCTTGTGTTCTACTTCCTGGTTCTCTTTTGGCAAAAGTGATGTAGTCATGCCGAGCATTGCATCCTGAGAAGGTTACACCAGCAGAGCATTGCGGAGAAATCTCATCTGTAATCTCACGAGATCTCAGGGAAAGGCATTTTCCTACCCTGGGATGATGTGCATGGCCGCATGTCCTAGTCACATGTGCCAGAGTACCAGGAAGTAAAGGGAGATGGATTCATCTGCCCTTAGTAAAAATGGCCACTGAGATGAATGAGGAGGAAAATAAAAACAAGGTATGGAAAGAACACAAAGCCGACAATGATCTAGAAGTATGTGTTTGTAGATTGTCATTACTAAACATTTCTAAAGGTGTCTTTGTTGTTATTTTGAAGATACGGGTAAAGTTCCTCTTTAAGACAATAATGGATTTATCAAGGTCAGCATAGACTAACACCTCCATTAACCATTAGGAACATTTTTACACACAGATGTGTATTTTTTTTACATAAAAATCAGACATAGAGATTAAAAGAATAATATTTATGTAATTATAATAAAAATACATAAAATTCACAATGTGGGGAGGAATCCAATCCAATAAACCAAAATTGATTCCATAGATAACTTGTTGCTTAAACCCCTGAAAAAAGAGAATGTACTGTCTTTTTTTAGTTTGTCATTGCAAAGATGTTTTGAGGTTTTCTTGTTGGTGGGGTAGTGGTGGAAATTTCCCCCGTGAAGGCGGTAAAGCGGTATTCTAGTGGTGTATCTTGTTCTCGTTTTCTCTGTAATATTTCTGCTTGAAGCAGGGAAGTCTAGAAATACGCAAAATAATAAGCTATTTTTTCTGTAAAGATTTAAAGCAAGGAACAAAACATAATAAAAGGTAGAAATAGTAATCTTAGCAATTATGAAATCATAATTCAGACAGCATCAATTCATTTCACAGACCTGAATGAACACGTGGGTCTTATTTCTGGTTTTTAAGAAACTGTACAGTGTTTTTCATATATACTATGTTGAGAAATAAAAGAATTAAACTTTCCACAAAAAAATTGCATGTGAATATATCATATTTACCACCTCCAGCCAGCATGTGGCAGGAGAGAGACAAGAGAACCACATAGGCACCCGGCAGTTTCAACTGTGACCAGGAATAGCAGGATATCATATTTTCATACATAGAGCTGAATGAATCCCACTCTCTCTCTTGTCTGGATTTTCTATATGCAAAAGCACTCAAGAAGTACATAATTAGTGCTGGACTTTCTTATTTGAAAGTCCAGCATGCTTTACAAGTACTGCATCATGGACGCAAACTGTAATAAATGTTTTGTAAAACTACAAAATACAAGGGCAGGTTAATAACACCTCCTAGTTCCAATTATGTAAATGCAATCAACACCTGGTTGCGACTAACAGATTATGTGGATTGGAGCGACATTCATCATATTGATTGTACAAGTCATTCTGAATTGAGAAAGCTGGTCGGATGATATAAATATAAATACAGCAAGTCCAGTTGCCTTGACTTATTTTTTACAGATATACAAAATACCAGTTATAAAGTTTAAAAACATTAGAACTAAATGTGTTGTGATTTCCCTTTAAATATGTCCAGGGACAGGGGCTAGCGGTCTGAAGAGGTGAGTAAGGGTTACTAGAGGGAAGCAACAGGCATATATGGGGTCATTTTTTCAGGTATATGTGTTGTAGGTCAGTCAATGCTTAAAAGTCAGAAGACCAATCTTAAACTGAAGGTGGAGCATGCTTTCAAGTCTTGCTGCAGCATTCTGCACTAACTGGAATGTATGCTAGACCTTTTCTGATAGCCTTACATACAAAGCATTACAGTAATCCAGTTAGGACAAGCTATACTCTCATTTGCATCTGATGTGTACCAATAATAAAAGTCATACAAAGAAACTACTGTAAGTTCATAGCATGAATAATACAGTACAGTCATGTGATAGGACGCCCAGTACATTAATGCTTTAATTGCTCAAGTTGAAATCTCTGAAAACTACTTTACAGTCATTTTAGTATTTCAGAGGAGCACTCGCTGGTAAATGAAATGTTTAGTTACGTGGCACTACATCATAAAAGAGAGCACCAAGATTTATTGCAATTACACACAGTTGGCCTCATTTTGAAAATGTCTTAAAGGAAATTTGACATGACATAAACAGAACGAATCTGAGTAGAATACATCACATTAGGAATTGAATGTCCAGATTCACACATTTATTTCAGTATTATTTCAACATAGGATCAGGTAAAAAAAAACAAAAAAAACTTTAAAGCCACATTACGGGCAAAAAAATGATCATTTAAACATCGAAATAGTGTGTAAATCTTAATTAACAGAGGGCCACTGCATGCCGGCTCCTACACATAACGCCAGTCACCTGGGTGCTGCAGGGAGTGAGGGATACAACTCGAACAGTGACGTCCTCCTGTTGCATTCCCGCCCCTCCTCGCTATGTGCCCATTCACAAAATGGCTTATATTTTTCTCAAAGAATAACAGGTGTACTGTGATTGGTGAAGGAGAGATAATGTCACATCCCTATCCCGTCCCCCAATCACAAAATGCCTTGTATTCTTTGAAAAAAATACAAAGCATTTTGTGAATTGGCAAGCAGTGAGGAGGGGCGGGGATGCGACTGAAGTTTGGAAGGAACAAACCCTCCCCCTTTAGCTCCGCCTCCCATGTCAGTATTAGAACAGCTCGGCTGACAGACTTGTAATAGCCTCAGGTGCCAAACAGGGAAATGAGAGCGGGAGTAATGGTCGTCAGTGACTCCTAACAGACAGCAAGGACTACCTAAAGGCAGACTACCATACTCTAAAAAGTAAATATATACACATATATAATTCAATTTTAAATGAACTTAAATACATTTCCGGAACCCAGCAACAACTAAAAATGCATATGAGGTATATTATATTACGGTGAAAATAGAAATAAAAAGAAATGATAAACAGGCTGTAAATATATCAATGTTTTATGGAGTCTTATGCTATCCTTTATGATAGATCCAAGCTGATCTGTAGACAGCTCATTAGCTTATGGTTAGGCAGCTCAAAGACGTACAGTCTCCAATAGAAGGTACTGGGAGCAAATCAGAGACAGAGACCAAAATGGATGTTAGAGTCCATAAAAAAAGTTGAATAAGAGTGTTGATCAAACAGCCAACACGTTTCGGGGGCAGACACAACCCCTTTCCTCAGGGCTTGCAGCTGTGGATAGTCCTCCCAAAATTTGCTGATTGCAACCTGTGACTGGACAGTTTGATACCCCACTGAGATTTTATTCTTGTTTGTTATATTCATTAACTACCTCCCGGCCGGCCGTTGTGTGTACACATCCGGCCGTGAGCTTCTTGGATGTAACTGGGCGTGTATACACATAATTTAAAAACCAGCAGCGATGTCTGTCAACATACAAGCGATCCGCCGGCTATAGAGCCGGCGGATTGCTTGTATGGGCTCCCGGGCTGTGCGCCCCTCCCGCTGTCACGCTGATCCCGGGGCTCCGCTGTGCGGAGGGGGATCAGGGGAACAGGGGGAGGTCAGTTCACGATCTCCCTCCGGTCCCCTCTCCGCTGTCAGAATGTGGAAGTGGTGTATATTACATCACTTCCGCATAAGTTTCCCCCTCAAAATGTTTTAAGTTACACATTAAAAAGAATTACATTTTTTATTTTTTTTTAAAGTCCCCACCCCTACATACACGCATGTGAACATGCATCAGGTGCACATACCTGCGAAAACGACGATTGTGGCCATTACGCCGCACGTGTTACATATCGCCGTGAACGTCGGAATGAGAGCAATAATTTTAGGGCCATCAATCACTGATAACACTAAACTGATGAGCTGTAAAAGCTTTCAAAGCGTCGCCTATGGCCAAATTTGAGTATGCTAGTTTTTTGTGATTTCGCAAGTGCGCGCAATTTTTAAGCTTGACATGTTTGGTGTCTATTTACCCGACGTGACCCGATCTTTTATATTTTACCAAAAAAGTGGGTAATATTAGTTGTTATATAACATAATGTAAAAAAAACACTTTTTTTGTTCAAAATTTTCAATAATTTCTCCTGAATATAGTAAAAAATAAAACCCCCAGTGGTGATTAAATAACACCAAAAGAAAGCTCTATCTGTCCCCAAAAATGGTATAAAATTCCTTTCAGTACAGCGCTGAGTGACGGAATAAATGTCAGTCAAAGTACTGCAGCGCTGAATACTGAAAAATGGCCTGGCCAGGAAGGGGGTCTAAACACCTGGTCTTCAAGTGGTTAACAACAGTAAAATCTCATTGGGGTATCAAACACAGCCCAACTCTAACTAAAATGTGAAGTCTTGGTGGGGTTTCTCTTTTATCTACGATAGTCAGCAATATATTGGCGGCTTCATTTCCATTACATGTGTATTAGTGGAAGAACATTCCAGTAAGGGAGAGCCACCTTGCCTGCTCTAGTGAAATGAAAAGTAACTTACCATGTCTAATTCCTTTCTGGCTGCCTCCATCTCGTCTTGTGCTGAGTGTTTGGGTCTTCTCTTCCTCTCCTGCATGGCCTGGATATGCTCTCTGATGCGTTGTTCCAGTCTCAGGTCTCTGGACACTCTATGCATAATAAATAAGACAGTTTGCTAATTTATAACACAAAGATCTTCTTGTCTCTGCTAAAAGACGTTGACCGGATTTTTAAGGGATAGATGCCAAAAGGAACAGTCTGTCAGAAAATCCATAACTAAAGGAGAACTATGGGGTGAGTGTTTTTCCACCTAGTTCTCTTTAGGGTCACGGGAGGACATATACTAGCGTCCTCCCGTGATCCAAAGCTCAGTATAGCCCGCGATATACTGAGAGCGCCGCAGCCGGGATGGATCAAGACAATACTGTTGAGATCCACCCAGCTGTGTGAGTGACAGCTGGCTCTGCCTAGCTAGAGATAGAGGCAGCTGTGCCCGCCCCCTCCCCCATTCGCTCCTCCAATCAGCGTTGGAGGATCGGAGATGGGGGAATCCCTGCGGGGAGCGGTGCCTGGCAGTCACCGCTCACTACAGGGAGATGATTGAGAAGTGAGCAGATCGGTGCGTGTTTCTGCTCAATTCCCGATCGATAGAGCCGACCTGTAACAGCTTCTTTGTCACAGGTCGGTTCTAACTATGAGGGTAAGTGGAAATCACTCACCTCATAGTTCTCCTGTAAGAGTCCAATTTGTAGCCTATACATATTTGGTGCATTTGAAATTGTTGGGATCATTTTAACCCCTTCATGACTGAGCTTGTTTTTGGTTTCTGTTCGTAAATGAATGAAGAAGGGTACCATTCTACACCAATGTATTATTCCTGGAATAAGCCCATGCCTGGTTGTTTTATTGCTATAAGATTGGGCTCTGTGAGCTACCCATACATGTCACAATCTGTTAGTACAGCTCCTGTACAATCTCCTTTAGACTAAAGATGGGTAAACATGGTTAGAATTCCATTTGACATTTTTTTTTTGTAACGCTGGTTTTATTTTCTAATACTTAATGGGGTCAAATCAATCATCGATTTTGATTATAGTGATGAAAACAAAATAAAAGGAGCAGGATGAAAATGTTTTTCTGAACAAATGAAATTTTAACAGTGATTGTAGTTTTTGTTTGGGGAAACTCCATTGATTCCAAAATTGAATTGATTGTTAAAAATCGAACATTTGTCAAGTCTCTGATGGCTTTAGCCAATGATCTGACAAGACAAGATATGATTGTTCATACGAAATACCCCCCTTTACTAACACAAATGCAATGTGAGGTTCTGCCTAAACATTCAATTCAATCTACATCCAGTCAGGTGGACCCTTGTGCAATGCCGTCACTAGCAGATCTAAAGAAGATTGTACAAACATATAGTATGGTCAGAATTGGAGTCCACCATAAAACTAGCTAATTTAGTAGATGATATATTATTATAATCAGGGGATCATAGACAGAAATAACTACTAAAAAAACACTGGTCACAGACGAGAAGGAGGGAAGACGAGAAAGAGAAACGAAAGCTGAAAGAAAATGCATTTAAGTATCTTATGTATTACCTAAAATGTATCTTATTTGTGTATCACTCGGCTGTAGATCCTCAAATCATCTCTGAATTGGTGCTGACACTGTCCTTCCTTCTGGAGGGGGGCTACTTTTGTTCCCCATGGTCCCTGTGTGAGTTGTAAAGTACCAACTGCTCCCTGAATGTTTTTACTTGTTGCCTGGAGATGCTCTTTAGTTTATGTACTTTGCCAGGATCTCAGGATATATGTGTTCTTATTAATTACAGCACATGCTTATTTTTGTTACAAGTTCTATGAACTTTTTAAGTAGGGCTGTACAGTAAACTCGCAGTGACGAGGGGGCATGGTGCCAGCTTCCCGGCCAATCAGGAAGCCAGGGGGCGAGTCAATACCCACTCCCTGATTGGCCGGGAAGCCAGGACTATGCTTCCTGGTGACGAGGGAGCATGGAGCCGGCTTCCCGGCCAATCAGGAAACCGGGCAGCGTGTAATATTTCACCTCCCGGCTTCCTGATACCGGAAATTCTGGTATCCGGATAGGCATCGGGAGCATTTGGGCCAGTACTCGTACTCACCCAAATACTTGGCATCGGGTCCAATAACAATGCGAGTATCGGTACATCCCTAATAGTTAAGGTACTTGAATGCATTTTTGAGATTTAACTCTTGAGTGTCGTGTCACTTTAAATTACCTTTAATCATAATTTTATTCTGAAATTCCTTGCACGATCAAAAATATAGATGTATCTTATATTCAAGTTCTTATATATAGGATTGTGACATATGTTTATTGGTCCTCTAAACAACTAAGACATTTGCATTGAATTATAAAGTAATACTGTGAGCCCAGCACATTGTGGCAATATAAATACAGCAAATACTAGCTAGTCGCTAGCAACAGCATGAAACTTTCCATTTGCTATTTGTGACTTTGATAATGCGCCAGGCTGAGCATGTGTTTGGGTGTACCACACAGCATCTAATGACACCGTTTACATTTTAACACAGTGAATATGACCACTGTTTATAAGACAAACCTTGCTTTCTCCATTTCCTTCAATGATTTCACTGACCTGATCCTTGGCATCATCTCCTGGGTTTCGACTCCAAAAGGCTTTTGCTTATCCCAGTTATTCTGGTGTTGGGAAGCATCCAGATCTGTGGCATATGGAGGAACGGCAACGGGCACCTAGGCATGTAAAATGACATGCGTCAAAAGAGCGACGGTGTGTGTCAAAGAGGCATACAGCACCACCATTCACGGCACTATACCAGGCCTACCAGAGTTATGTTCTCCGCATGTTGGATGTAATTCTACGATCACAAATCACCAGAACTAACTTTAGATATTTTCCTTTATGCCTTTAAAGCAGGGGTAGCCAAACTCCGGCCCTCCAGCTGTGGTGAAACTACAAATCCCATGATGCATCTCTCTCCGGGAGTCATGTCTGTGAGAATCTTGCAATGTCTCATGGGATTTGTAGTTCCACCACAGCTAGAGGGCCGGAGTTTGGCTACCCCTGCTTTAAAGTGTCCTGACAAATGGTGAAAGAAGTAATATTTTAACAGTTTACACTAGGGCAATGCTTTCCAAACCTGCAATCGATTTTTATGAACAGTGCATGTTTTATGGATAAACACATAAGCAGTTAAAGTGTTTCTACACCCAAGAACAAAAAATTCATAGAATGCAGCTTAAGCTGGCCGTACAACAGCAATGGGGTCAAATTAACGCATGTTCGCCGGTCTCCTTCCCTGCTTTCCGCTGACACCCAAGATGCTGGTCCCGAGCCTGCAGGAGGGGCAGCGGAGCCTGGGAAGCATGGTAGGGGTGTCGATGGCACGCACTGCAGCAGCCCCTGGAAGCGATCTGGTGGCAGCTGAGCCACCAGAATCGCTTCCAGTGTAAAGCTGACAGTCGGCTTTACACTTGTAAACAGAGTCCTGATGGCTATTTAAACAGGCTCGCTGTCAGCGACATATGAGATACATCGGTGGCAGCAAAGGGGTTAAAGGGAATCTGAGAGAATAATGGGAGTGGTCATTCTGATGCTTTGACTTCAATGCTTCCGGAGTCATTGATCGAGAACAAGTAGTGCTGACACATAACCCTCATTTACAACATATTTGTTTTGGGTCTGTAAAGGAAAATCACTGACGTCAAGAAGGAGTGCAATGGCAGCCCCCATACTTCTCTCATGGCAGAGTCACTTTATAAATAAGTCAGGAATGACAGCTCCCATAGGTCTATATTACAGGAGATGAATCTAACAAAGCATTTCAGTTGGCGATGAAATGATCTAGACTCTCTTTTTCACTAAGGACGTTGATGTGCATTTCACGGAAAATATATGATCAACGCATAGTAAGGTGCAGTGACATGCGGTACCTCATGCTCGGCGTGAGGCATTCCCCAGCCCTGCCCCCTGCTGGCCGAAGCCCCACTCCAGCTGAAGCTCCGCCCCAACCCAGTGTAAAGGAGGAAGGGGGAGACAGGGGGGAGCCTCCCTGTCCCTCACTTGCTCCTCACCGCTGAGGCTCCGTGACAGGTTACGCAGCGGGGAGGATTTCCCTGCTGTGTAACCTGTTAAATGCCGATCTGAATGGAGAAAAAGCTGTCAGCTTCAGACCTGAGGCTGACAGCTTTTCCCTCCATAATTCTAGGTGAGGCTCTGCCTCCCCTGACTGCACATCCCTGGTAAGGTGTATACCTTTTGTGTTGTTGTTTAATAACCCCAGATATTAAAGAAGAATTATGAGGTGAGTGATTTTCACTCAGCCTCATAATCTGAGCCGGCCTATGACAATGAGACTGTCAAAGGTCGGCTCAGTAGATTGGGAAGTGAGCGAACACATACCGCGCTCGCTTACTTCTCGATCCAGTGTCGGCAGAGAGCCGTGACAGGGTAGGGACTGGATTCCCCCCTCCCCTGTCCGATCCTCCAGCGCTGACTGGTGGAACGGACGGGGGAGGGGCAGGTACAGCTGGCTCTGCCTCTAGATAGGCAGAGCCAGCTGTCACTCACGCAGCTGGGTGGATCCAGACAGAATTGTCGGGATCCGTTCCGGCTGCGGCGTCTCAGTATACCGCAAGCTGTAGCTCGCGGTATACTGAGCTTAGGGTGACGGGAGGACACTAGTTTGTGTCCTCCCGTTACCCTCAGGAGAACTATGGGGAAAGCCCTGACCCCATAGTTCTCCTTTAAATTTGAACTCCAGACAGATATAAAAGACACAACAAATGCAGCTCTGTATTCCTTAATACATCATTACATAATTTTTTTAAAGCAAGCAGTCTAATACTTGAATCTGACCTGGTATCAGCCTCTTGCTGTCCCTGTACAGCAGGGCTGGAGTGTGAGAGGAAGAAGCAGTGCAAAGAACTGACTGGTTCGTGTGCTGACAAGAAGCATGCTGATAAGCAGGAGAGAGAAGAGTGACAGGGAGATGAGCTGATCACAGGCTGGAGGGAGGTACAGGATGACCTGGGCTCAGAGGAAGCTGGCTAAATGTTGCTGCCATCAGACTGACATCTAATGGTAGAAAAAAGTACGGGAAGGGAAATCTCTGGATTGAAGGAGAATATTGCAGCAAAATCTGGTTTTGTTATTTTATCTTTAGATGGGAGAATTCATTGGTTTCTTGCTATTTCTGACTGGAGTTCTGCTTTAATGATTTTCAACACATTAAAACGCTTTTTAATAGTAGAAGCAGGGAGAGTATGACCCTTTCATGACAAAGTTCCTCCCATTTGAAGACGATGTATAAGCAGGATTTTAACTAGATAAACAGTGAGTCATTGTTTAGTGCTCACTTATGGAGTTGAACAGCTTTTCTCGTACATGCCGTGTGCTGAATAAGCAGCTGGAATAACAGGTTCTTTGTGTGTATATAAAAGAGAAAACATGTTTCAAAAGAAAACTATATTGGTTTTGACCATTTTATTTAAAAAAAAATGTGAATGTGTAACCCTAACTGCAAAGTGATATTTTTTAGGACTGGTAATGATTAACATTTTCGTGTTCGATTAATCAAATTTTTTTAAAACCGGACCGGCGGAGAGGTGAGTGTGATCAAAATAATGTTAATCGATTAAAAAGTTTAACGATTAATCGAGAAATTAATCTTTAATTTCCACAGCCCTAATATTTTTTATTATAAAACCTTTATTCTGCAAACATACAGGGTTCTTTAATTACACTGTATGTACAGAGAATGTTGGGCTTTTTGATAAGAAAGCCCAGCACTGCCTACTGGTTTGTTAAACAAAACCTTGTAAAGGTGCCCATACCTTACGAATATCGGGCGAATTTCGTTTGCGATCGCGTTTTCGTCCGATATTCGGAAGGTTGATGGGCAGTGTACAACCGCAAATACAGAGGTACGGCTTTTGATTTTCCAGCAGGTTAGAAAACATCTGTCGAATCCTACGATTTCGGCAAGGTGGGTGGCGTTTCCAAACATCAAAAATCGTACGATTAACACTGCTCATGCGGTTAACGAAATTCGTTAATTTCTGCTAAAGGCCGCTAATTGAACTGTGCGATGGTCGAAGCAGGATGGGGCCGCCGTACGAAAATTGTACGACGGATCAATGATTGCAAGGTGTATGGGCACCTTAAGGAAGGAGAGAATGGGTCTCTCTTCTGGTTCATTCCACTGTGTGTGTCTAATTTGATCTCCTGCTGTTCAGGTCCATTCACAATGTCCTTTACAGGGTATTCAAGGTGGATCAGTAAGTCGGTTTTGTTATGAGTTGCAGTGTAGCCTTGAGCAGGCACCTAGTGCAAGCTTTTGGTTCCCATGGCAGAACAATAAGCTAAATACTAAAAGTACATACAAACTACATATGATATGCTGCCTTAAAATGTCCACACACTAGTGAGATAATAAAATAAAAAAAAAGATTTGCTTTGGGGGCGAACATGACGTTATAATATCCAAATCTCACCATACCTGCTGTATCTGGAGAGGCATCCTAAGGGCTTGTTCACACCAAATGCAGACCAGATCTGCATGAGTTTGCAGTGTGTTTTGCCGCGTTTCGGGCCGCTTTTCTTTTTAGTCTAAAATGGCCTTTCAGTGCATTCCAGGGCGTTTTTGATGCGTTTGCATCCATTTTAGTGCGTTCCAGAGCAGAACAAATAGGGCATGCTGCAGTTTTTCCACATGCTCTGGAATACATTGGATGCAGTTTTGATGTGTTCTGTAACTGCTCGGCATCTGCTCCACACTTGGTGTGAACTAGCCCTAATTGCATTAGAAGGGAGATCACCTGAGACATTGGCATGATCACCTTAGACATTGCTTGGTACCTTATGTAAACAGTGCTCTTGGCACCTCAACAAGGCACTGCCAAATAGCAGACCCCCCCCACACACACACTCAGCATCCGGCAAAGACACGACAGAACCTGGAGATAAAGCTAACTCTAGCAGGCCCTTGAGGTCCACATGCTGTCGGGAGACAGGCCTGCTGCTTCAGGTCTAACTGCACCAAAATACTGAAACAACATATCCTTAGATGATTCCCTTTAGGGGCAAGGGCAACTCTAGTATTCCTCGTGTAAAGAACACTCCAGGTATTGACAGCGGCACACCCGGCACTATCAGAATCGCCTAGTGGGAGATTAATCCATCTATGCTTTTTAGAGTGGATTGAGGAATCTCTTTGATTTTGTCATGCTGTCTGGCTATCATTGTAGACTGAAAAAACTGATGATATATACGGTGTTATAAAGCATTTAGACAATCTATCAAGATCTATCATGGAAAATGCTATCATGGAAAATGTACAAAAATAAATAAATATTAAGTTATTTAAATGTGTATTTTGTTCCTGGATTCACTGCATACCACAAACATGTGCCATAGCCTTTTGCAGCTTTTAGCAGGAAATTAAGTCTTTCTTACAAAACCCCCGGCTTCTGTGGGTTCTAGTCATCAACTAGCCATTATATTCAATGCAATTCCACTCAGAACTTAACCCTCCTCCATCATCTGTGAAGAACTGAATTGAAAATGATAAGCTCCCCAGTGAAGATATTGCATAGACCCCATAAAGCCAGGCCAGTTTATTTTCTAAGCACCTGGTATCGATCAGGTAATTATTATCTACACAGCTTATTAAACAATAATAGACCCACCTCCTCTTACCTTCTGGACCTTTCCTACGGGGGCTGCCAAAGGTGACGGGTGGCCTCACTTGCCATTAGGAAGCCATAGGAAGGAGAATGTGGGATAATTATGAACCAGTGAGCGGTGTAGTCAATAGGTGCCTGACAGAGGGCCAGGGCTTGGGAGGATCTTTGGGCACCCAGTAGATAAAATGACCCAGGGAGCAGGATCCTAGACAGGGATATCTTGGGACAACTTTACAATATAAAGTGGGCCCATAGGTCTTCTCTACCACCAGACTGATTAATATTAAACATATCTCCAAATTTCCTTTGATACTTTTTTTTTCTCAAATAAACCAACATCAGTAAAAAATCATTTGTGGGTTTTAAGGTCACACTAATGCACATTCATTTTAAAGAAAAATCATGCCATCCCCGATATGTAAAATGTGATTTCCTTATTAGGGCCTGACTCGCTGTGCTGCAATAAGGCCTTGTCCTTGTAAACCTGTACATGATAAATGACATAACTCTAGTGAGTCATGGCCTTCAGCAATGCACCAAGACACAGAGTAATGACAAATGTAGATTTACAGCATTTACATCCTCCTTTCAAGGCCATCTAAAAGTGTATTTTCAGTGCGGCATGTGTAATACATTTGCATCAGTAAAGAGCAGTTGTGTATTTCTGTTAGCTAATGTTATGAAAATAAAAAAGACCAAACACTTAAATTTTTGACTGTTTTCATTACAGTGCCTTAAAAACATATTTGCTCTCTTCCTGTTTATTTTATTTCTAGTTTCCAGCTTTTAGAAATCACATTTAATTCGATGTGTTGTTAGTTCTAGCAGTGTATAACAGAGGCCTGATTGATTAAACAATTATTACACCAGTTCTTTTTTTTCTGTTAATGGGAATTGTTTGAGGGGCTTGAGCTGTCATACTGGGGGACACTTCCCCAAACAAGAAGACATGTGGTATTCTAAAGCCTTCTGCATTCATTACAAGGCACTTTGTAGCAAAAATGCAGAGTCTGTGTAATATATTAGTGTCCACATCATTAAAGCCCATCTCCGGGCAAACAAAAGTACCCTTGTAGTGGGGCTACCCCCATACTGTTTTTGTCTAGGGGACTAGAGTAATGCAGATTTACTTACCTGAGCCCCACTACCACTGGCTCCCTCTGGGCTCCTAGACTGGTCCCCAGAGCCTCTTCTCTCCTGGGCTTCGACAGCCTAATGACCCATGACGTCATCATGTCTAATGCAGGTTCCATAGACCTGCATTAGATGTGGGGACAGTCCACAAGCTGGAGTGGAGGTGGATAAGAGGAGAGCACTGACTACTGGGGGGGAATAGGGGCCAAGTAAGTGAATCTGCTTCACTTCAGCCCTTAGTCAAGGTGTTAGGATCCAGAGCGCCTCCAGGTGGCGCTGGAGCTATGGAGCTAAGCCCTGCAATTCCTGTGCTCACCTGCAGGTGTCTCCAGGCAGCCAGGAACTGTTAGGTACCAGACCACCACTGGGTGGTGCTGGAACCTGCAGCTTCAGTGCTCACCTGCGGGTGTCTCCCAGCTGCCAGTACTTAGCCATCACCTGGTGCTTCCTGGGAGGGTATTTAAACCCTCCCTGCAGTCAGGATGATGGCTCAGTATACTGTTATCATTTCCGGTGAGTCCTGAGCCCTCTTTGCAGTCCTGAACCCTGTTTGCAGTCCTGTATCCTGTTACCTGTTTGCAGTCCTGAACCCTGTTACCTGTTTGAAGTCCTGTTACCTGTTTGCAGTCTTGGGCCCTGTTACCTGTTTGTAGGCCTGATTCCTGCTTGTTCTAGTCCTGTTGTTGTTACAAATAAACTGTATATAAACACATTCTGCCTTGTCCGGTGTGGTCATACGTGTTTGGTCTTCCTGTGTGGGTACCGGCATACGGTCTGGGGACACCTGTGCCGGTACCCCTGACACAAGGCAAAAACAAGCACGTAGCCCCACTGCAAGGGTATTTTTTTTTGTAGGGAAAAAAAATAAATTACTTTTCCCCTGGCACCTAAGCAAGGGTGGCATCGCCATACTACCGGCACGATCCTGCCAAGTACCCAAGATCTCGCAAGAAAACGCTCCAACACTGTGATGGGGTGAAATCTTGCGAGTTTACAGTATTTTATTTGGAAAGAAGGTGACTTTACCCTCTACAGTACAAAAGGCAGGAGTAAGGCAAGTATATTTATTAACTTTTCTTTTTTTATAGATAAGTTGCAATTAATGATAGAGGAGGGGTCCTTATATATAATATAGACCCTGAATTTGCTGTAAGGTCCACTTTAAGGTGGCCACACACATTACATTACAACCTGATTGTGCAATCTGACTTAGATATAGCAATGTACTTTGTAGTGTTTACCTGATTGGATCTTAATTATATTGCTTAAGTAGGCCCTTCTAAAGGGAAATCATACAATCAGACTGTGATGTGTGACTCCAGTTTAAAGGAAATGTCCTCAGATGAAGCCACCCAGCAAAATACACACCTTCAGCCCAGGACCTGAGATGTTCAGTGTGCACATGCACCGCTGGCTCTATACATTTCTATGGTTGTGGCTCTGCTCACTGCAGCCCCCAGTTATCCAGAGGAATACAGACCCAGTCATTAAAAACAATAGTACAAAAGGGGCGCAAACACATTAGGAGGTGGATGCGGCCTAGACTTTTTTTCTTGCAAAGGTTGTGGAGCAACGAACAGGGCTGCACTGGTAAGGTCTCATGAAGGCCTTCATGAGATCTTCAGGGCTAAATGGGAGATAGTAGATAGGTGAATTTGAATGGGATTGGGTAGGGTGGGGGAGTTAATTTCACTAAAAGTGAAGATGCCCTTTAAGTATGCAGAATGCGCATGGGACCTAGTTTATTACAGAAAACGCAGATCTTCAAAATCTGAGCAAAAAGAAAGTATTAATAAAACAAAACTAAAAAAATAAATGTGGCAAAAAGTGATGACAGAAGATCATAATTCATTACTTATTCTGAAAAATGAAACAAAGCATCTGATTGGTTACCCTTGTCCGCTTCTCAGTTACATTTTTTTCCCCAGGTCTCTTTTATTAATGGCCCACATAGTGATTGTATATTTACAATGGTAATAAACTGCACAGCACAGGATTTTGGTTCTGTAAAGCATACATTGGTACAAAGAAATCTTTTCTAATGTCAGTGCTCTGATCTTCGACCTCTAGCAGCCATGCATGTGATACCACGCTGCCCTCTGCTGGCTACACAGCTTCTAGTTAACAGCACAGAAATTTGTCATCGGAAAGTTGTACCTCTTGTTGGACCTCATTTTTCTTTCTGTTCTTAGCTTCTTTATCTTGCATGAGTTGTGTCTGTTTTTGCCAATCTTTAAGAATTTCTTGGTTCCTTCAAAGAAAAACAAAAAAGGTGTAAAATAAATCTGATGGAGCTGTGTTTTGCACCTCAAATTGTACCTGAAACACAACTTATTGGCAACACTTCCTAATGATCAATAGGTACTGTATAGGTGTCCTATGTCATCACACAGCAGTAAAAAGTTTACAGATTTTTTAAATAAATGTGTGCTTCTTCTGTCATCACGCCTAAAATGCTGTGGAACGCTTTTCACATAGTAGTAGAACAGCGGCTGCCCGGCGTTCAGGACGAGATACTGCTGCCTCCTGAATTTCGTTTTATTCCGAACCCAAGGAGGACTTTTCATTGCACTACTGTGCTGCAACAGCATAACAATCTTTTGGCATGCGGTTACTGCATGGCCCTATTCAATTCTATGGTCACGTTTGGTAGGCATGTTATAATTGTTGCTGCAATGCGAAGCAAAGCATTGTTGCTGTGGCAATGTATACTGTACTGTATGGCTGCAATGCTAACATTGCAGTAGATGGCTGTGGAGCAGTGATTTTACCACCCCTTAGCCACCTATGTAGGTGAGGCCTTACAGCCTCTTTCTGGATCTTTGGATCTTTCTGTGCCGGTCTCCAGATATCGCAGCCATTACAAGGGGTCTCACTCTTCCTAATGCATGTTTCATTTATTTTGAAATACAAAAAATGTACTGATACTCCAGAGAAAAACAGAACACTTTCCTGATGACATTTTGCCACTGGAGCCCCTGACAAATAAAAAAAACTATTTTACAATCCTAAATTCATTAACTCTACTGAATAATAAATGAATAATAAGGATTGATATGCATAAACATGTAGTAGCAGTCCTGAAAAAAGGTTGGTGGGTGTTAAAAAGAAAATATTGTGCATTTTCAGGAAGCAGGTATTGTGGGGTATTATTGAAGCTTACTTTAAAAAATATCTAAAGCTAGATTTATTTTCCATTTTGGATAAAAGTAGGGAACTGTTAAAACCTAAAGATTTCCCCTTCACTTCATGTCAGAAGGCAGAGGGGAGCCAGGTGGTTGGACAATCTTGGTTGTGCGCTAGAGGCACAGGAAGACAGCCGAGGATGCTGAGAGAGCCATTTACACATGGAGTATATGTGACAACCTGGAGTCTGTGAGACTATGTCTTCTGTTTGCTGGAATACAAGCGGACTGTGTATTAATTGTTGAAGAAGTTATGTTTGTGCTCTGGAAGTAATGAAAGACTGTTTTGTTTTATGCTAAAGTGGCTTCGAGACTAGTGCTTAAGCGCTCAACATTTGTGCTAACTTCCCCAAACGTCACAATTCGTATATTGCAAATGCACTCTATTGGGGCCACCTGCGTCCTAGCCACAAAGGACGGTATGTGGCTCCTGTGTTGCTGCAATGCAGGCGGCTTGAGTCCTCTAGCGTGCATTGTTGATAAGATGCTAGACAGCAGGTAAGCTTCTGCCAGCAAGATCCTGCGTACTAGTTGCCATGTTTCCAGACAACCACATGCATGACCCCTTAAGTACTAACATATAGTTCCCTGCCAAAGGTCAATCTATCCAATCAATTTGTATCCAATCAGACAGGCCCTTGCACTACATAGTTGTTGGTAGATCAAAAGGATATATACCATCAGATTGTACCATGTGTGGTGAGATTTAGAGACAAAACTAAAGTTAACAATACCGAACACTGCTACTAATTTATAAAGTATAACATGGTCACATTTACACTAATCTCTTTCGCTACACTGCAAGCAAAGAAGCAAAACCTACTTCATTTTTTGATGGACCGTGGCGAGTCGTTCTTTCTCTTCTGCATGTTTATTGGCTTTCGGTTTTCTTCTCTCTGAAAATGTGGCCTGCCTATGTGTCAAGAAAATGAGGCTTTGATGAATTACCATTGGAGGAAGAAGAGTCTCATAAAAAGAGAGAAAAGAGAAGAAAATGTATGGAAACAAAACTGCTACCAATGAAATGTATGCAAGTAACACCATGTGGGATTGTCTGGCCATATTCACAAGTTTTTCTGCAATTTTAGATTTATTTATTTTTGTCTTACATTCCCTTCCCACTATTCATTTTTTTGAGAAATAAAAAAAAATAAAAAAGTTGGAGGAAGAGTTAGCAATGAGATTACATATCAGCAAAAACACATACATGCATAAACAGATAATAAATACAATTTTAAAATACAACAGATTGAAAAAAAACCCACGCCTACTGTCCAAACACTGTGTGGAAATACACCATAAATAGTATGCTCTTTTCGACTCACTTTAAGGAATGCTACCCCTTTAGGCTGGGTTCCTACCTGGGCGGATTGAATATGCGCGTTTTCCGCGCGTTTTTTTTACCGCGATTCGCGGGGAAAAAAACGCGCGGCAAACACGCGTTTCCGAGGGATACTTGGCTGTATCCCAATGGAACCGCCCGACTAAAACGCCCCAAAGAAGTACATGTACTTCTTTGGGCGTAGGGAAAAACCGCACAGATGGGAACCATACACATTGAAAATAATGGCATTTCCCTGCTTGAGCGGTTTTCCGCGAGTACGAAAGCGCGGAAAACCGCCTAGGTGGGAACCCAGCCTTAGAGAAGGGCATTACTTTGTAAATCTGCCCACTGCTGCAAAATGAGCTCTAAAAGGCAAAATCACATGACTTAATGAGCTACACCTATCAACTGCTGCAAAATGACATTTGCAGGATATATACACAGTTGTCAAGGCTACATATGACTGCAAAAGACTGCAAAATGTTACCAGCTTACAGTACTGAAAATGTAGTGTCATGAAGAAGGGTTATTTGGAGTGTAATTAATACATTCAATGTACAACATCATCAAAATGTAGATTTAGCGCTCTGTTATCCAGATGACATAGACGAGATGAAAGTGACTAATAAAGTGTTGTAACCTGGCTTGAAGCAAACATAAGACGGTCTCATTAATTGTAATATTCTTTCTTATATTCTGGTATGAAAAGCCAATTTATGTCATGATCCTTAAGTGTTCATGAGCAGAGGGCTTCTTATTATATCCATTTTTCTCTGCAATCCTTTTCGTTAGTAATTACCATAAGCTACTCTATTAATTTTAAGATACTTTCCCAGTAATGTAAAGTTTCAATTTACTAAGCTAAATGCAGCCAGTAATGAGATAAGGTACACTCAAAGTTAGAAGTTCAACCCTGAAATACATACAGGAAAAACAGCCTACTCAAAGCTTACTCACCAGTCAAACGTATTGCTGTCTTTTGGTATGTGATGCTCTGAAAACTTCTCCTACTTACCTGTTTGTAATGTATTTAACACGGTAGAATCTAACTGGCTCTACACCAAGTAGAGAAATAGAAAATGGCACAACACAGGCTTTAGATGTCTTTTAGGAGAGACATATGGCCATCCTCCTTGGTACTGAAGAAAAAAAAGTCCTCCCATTTCAATAGTAATTTTCCTTGCAACAAGACACACTATGATCCCACTGGCTTTCAATGTTCCCAAAGAAGGGCAAGCAAGGACAACAAATGATTCTGATGGTCTGGTTTAGATGATTATCTAGTGTGCACATTAGCACCCTTGACAGCCCCAGAAACTAAGGCAAAATTGGTGACAGGATTTCAATGAACATAGCTATTTGAATTATTCAGATGCTTATTATAGTTTTGGAACCTGAGGCAATGAGATATATGAACCTGTTGTGGGCATGACAAAGGGATGGATGACTCTCCATGTGGGATTCATCATGTATTTTACTTTACAGTAGGACTTAAAAATTAGCTTCTGTAGCTTCATGACAGAGACTGCTATTATCCCTTAGAGATGCCAGAAGCCAGCTGTCCAGAAATTATACCACAGATTGTCAAAATAGAATAGAATATTTGAATATTTGGATGGGAATGAGCCTCCTTTCTTCCATTCTTAGGTCTACATCTTACCCGGTAGCCAGATCTTGTTATTAGTCTCATATATATAATATACAGTAATGTTTAGGTGTTAGGGTTCTCCCTCGCTGCTGTAGGAGCTTGCTCCTGCTGGGTGAAAAGGCTGAGTACTGAAAGAACACTAAAAACTGGAAAACTCAATAGGAGTTAGAAACTGTGTTTGTTTGCCACCTTGCTGAATAAGGTCCCATTTACACTTGCAAATGGGGCCAATCACATGAGTCTCACAAATTCTTCCATGAAAGTCTGCTGTAGGTGGGAGGCACTGTACAACACAATGACAACTGACACTACCCCCAGCCCCATTTGCATGGGCTGTGATTACCTGCTGACAATCGCACCTGGATGCAATCAGTCTGAATCCAGGTGCAGTTGTCTTCAGGTAATCACAGCATTTGAGCTTGCCCCCTTAACCCCTTCATGACTGAGGCCCTTTTTTCATTTTTTGCACCCATGTTATATTCCACATTTTCAGCCTGAAAATGACTTAAAACCCCCCAACATTATATATTTTCTGAATGCCAAGACCCTATAGAATAAATCATGTGACCCATTTGCATCATAGTTATCCTCCTTGCTGTCACTTGGAGTGTACTGCAATCCAGAAACACTGGCACTACATTTATATTAGTTTTTTTTTTACATAGAACTTTCCAGTTACTAGATGGAACAGGGCTTTTAGAAGGTCTTCGATAAGGTAGTAAAAATGTGCTAAAACATGCTTCCTATGGACAGCATTAAGGATAAAGGAAGGGCATAAATTACTTATTTCTGAAGAGTGAGATGATTGCACAATTAGACTGGAGAAAGACATTTATGGGCAGAGTTGGGAATGTCAGGCATGCATAGACACAATTCTGGGACTGCACATTCCAAAATTTCAGAAACATGTGGATGCGTTATATGGTTGTACACCATGTGCGACCTCGCGTACACACAAAAGGGCCCTGAACAGGTAGACCATGTCCACTGTATGTATTTCACGCCACTATGGAGTGTGTCTTTAAAAGAGAACTATGGGGTATGTGTTTTCCCCCATAGTTCTCTTTAGGGTCACGGGAGGACATAAACTAGCGTCCTCCCGTGACCCAAAGCTTAGTATATAACGGGCTATTGCCCATGATATACTGAGAGCACCGCAGCCAGGACGGATCCCGACAATACTGTCTGGATCCACCCAGCTGCGTGAGTGACAGCTGGCTCTGCCTATCTAGAGGCAGAGCAAGCTGAGCCCACCCCCACACCCGTCCGTTCCTCCACTCAGCGCTGGAGGATTGGAGAGGGGAGGAATCCCTGCGGGGAGCGGTGACTGACAGTCACCGCTCTCTGGAGGGAGATGATCGGAAAGTGAGCGAGCGACGGTATGTGTTCGCTTACTTCCCGATCAATAGAGCCGACCTGTGACAGCTTCTTTGTCACAGGTCGGCTCTAACTATGAGGATGAGTGGAAATCACTCACCTCATAGTTCTCCTTTCATTATTACGTTGTAAGGGAAATTGTATGGTGTAGTGTAATTTATTCTCATATCTTACTTAGATACTGTATATACTTCAGCAAACTGGTCATTGACCATATACAGAAATCAACTTAATTTCCCAAAATATATAATGTGAAGATGATACAATCGCCACCGAAGCATATTTACCTTGATTCAGTTAGAAAGCTCCAGCCATTTGTGCCTGCAGCTCTTTGGGGTTTATTCTGAAAGTACAGGGGTTCAGTGTAAGCCATCTCCTCCATCTCTCTTGCTTCCATTTTGCTTTTTAACAACTCGAACTTCCTCTTTTCATTTTCATCTGAGAGGTCCAGGCTAGACTCCATCAGTCCTTTAAGATCCAGTTTCTCCACAGGAGGCAGGTCTATTAAAGGGAGGCATAAGGCAATGGAGTTTGTGTATCACATGTATTTGCTCAAGGACTGAATACAGTTGTCAAAATGGCAGAGATTTTACCCAGAATTTAAGCAACTGCACATTCACATTAAACATAGGACATATATTTCAAACAAATATTATCATGAGAAAAACTGGAGGTCCTGACAACTGAAAATGTTTTTTGCCTTGTTGCCTATATGACCCTCATGCTAACTGCTCTCTGTCATCACATTTTTGGTCACGTAAACTACGGCCCGCATTGTACGGTCCATTCATAAAATGTGCATCACTAGTAGAGCCTAGTGTGTCCCTTGGAGTTCTTTCTGTCTAATGCAGTTAAGAGAGTTCTATGATTTGAGTCCTCAGTCTCCCCTATCCCACGATCCATCACTAGGACTGCTGTAACTTTGTAAACTGGTCATTTGACCGGGCTCTCATCCCAGATTTTTTCTTTTTCCAATTTACAATTTTACAACAGTCTCAGTTAGGGATCATGGGGGAAGGGGGCTAAGGAAATGTTTGCTCCACCCTGAAGAAGATTTATGACATCATTCTTTTAAATTGCTCTAAGCACAGTCACTCGACTCAAGGACTGCTTTTGGCTGATACAAGATTTTTGAAAAATGTTTATTGTTTATGGTGGCATCAATTCTTTATTCAGGCAAACCTGTAATGTTTATTGAAGGTCTGCTTTAACTGGGGTAGAACACAATAAGGCCACTGACCTGCTACCCAAAAAAATCAAAAGTAATCTATGGATCGATAAGCCACCCTTTCAACGGCTATGACAGCTGGGTGTGTATGGAAGGTGAAATTGAGAAACCTCAGTACAATCCACAATCCTGGCTGGTGGGTGATTTAGCCAGAGGGCTTCAATCCCAAACTGAAATATCACTTTTGTGGGGATTTAATCTTCTAAACTAAAATACCAATTACAGATTTTGTATACCTAATTCACAGGGATCAGAACACATAACATTTGTTTTCTTGGAGTTTCTGAGAAAAGATAAAATAGATTCAAGGCCTTTACGCACAACATCTTCAGGAGGAAAGTCAAGTGGGCAATGCCGGAGATTTAAAGCCTTTAGAGTAGTCAAATCACCTGCACAGGAATAAAGAAAAAACAGTTAAAACATAATTCATCTCTTACTACCACCAAAAAAACCCATTTCTTTTAAAAGGCTGCTTTTAGAAACATGAACAAGTAGGAGTACAGATCTATGCTTGCCAGAAAGAAATAGATGGCAAAATACACTCCCTTTATGATTTGCCATGTTTTTGGTATAGCTGTCATTTCATGTGCAGGTCATGCTGCTTGACCCAAATCTTAGGAGATTCCAGCAGTAACAAATTTTGTCAACCTCAGTTTTTGACTCGTGAAAATTAGAAACTTAGAAAAAAATAGGCGCACAAAGGTAGCTTATACATTAGAGATATTTGTAAGATTCTAGTATCAATGTAATGAAATAAAGTTGCCTTGGACTTGAACCTTTGCAATGAGGTGTTCCATGTTACCCCTTGTTACTAGACTCACTTTGGGGATCCAGAGCCTTCTACCTAGCTTCACATTAGTCACCCATTGTGCCCATGAGAACTGCATACAAGCAGCATTGCAGATGGCTTCTTTCATCTCTGCTGTTTGATATTTAAGCAGATTTAAGCAGTTATCTCCAAGCAACTGGTATTGGGAATGGCGCATGTACGGACCTGCAATATTCAGATTAAAGCTGAACTCCAGGCAGATATAAATCAGTGTTTGCTGATAATACCAAACTATGTATGGCTATAACTTCACAACATGATATAGAGTCACTGCAAGACCTAAATAAAATTTGAGTGTTGGGCAGCAGCATGGTAGATTCAGTATTGAAAAATGTAAAGTTATGCACTTGGGGGTTAAACATACGCATGCAAGATACTCTTTAGGAAGTGCTCCTCTGGGAAAATTGGGGATGGAGAAAGATCTGAGGGTACTTATAGACCACAGACTCAGCAATAACATGCAATGCTAAACTGCAGCTAGTAATATCATCAGAATACTATCCTGCATTGAAAATGTATTTATTTAAGAGATAAAACAATAATTTAACCACTTTACAAAACACTAGTTTGGCCACTCTGAATACTAATGAAAGGGAGAGGTGAGAAAGAGCTTGCAAAACACAGGCAGACATTTTTACATGAGGATATGAAGAGGAAAGTTAACAAAAACGTTTGTGTGTTCATACACAGCAGCTGCATATGCCAGTTCCATGTACACTCGGTTTACATTGCTGGCATATATTTTTTTTAAATACCTCTGCAACGGTGGAAATGGGCTTTAAGCCTAAAACATGCTAATCTACTCTATAATTGCCACCTATGTAAACACTTAACTTCTGTTTCTTTCTGGAACCCATAATTGCACCTGAAAAATTTGGATGTGAGAGCGAGTATGAAATTTGTGTTCAGGCTACACAGAAACTAACATGGTTATTGACTACAGGACTAAGGGTTTGGAGAAGGCAGGAAAATGCTCAATCTAGGCCAAAATAGCTGATTTGGAAAAATTCAGCTCACATTCCAGTTCAGCAATGTTGTCCTAGATTATTCACTTCTCCTGCCTTCTCTACACTATTCACCCTTTGGTGAATAACCCTGTAAGTCTAGTGTGACAGAGACTTTAATTCTAGTATTAGTAGCGGTGGTAGAGTTAACAAGGGCAACCAGGCATGAAAAAGTTTGTTTGCACTACATTATTTCCAATAAAGCTTGTACCCTCGTTAAGTGTATAACATTACTAAGGAAAGTCTGAAAAAAGGCCAGAAGACTGTGACCTTGTATCTGAAGTGTCAGAATCGGTTACATCTTCACTCTGGCATCCTGCAATGCCATAACTGTGATTGATATACTCAAACATGCATGAGTATGCATAATTTACATTTTCTTTTGTCCTCATTCAGAAGAGGTAGTGGCAGCGTTCTTTTTAGTTGAAGAAAGCTGACTAGTTCTGAGAGACAAAAATGCCATCTTTAAAAGGGTCTTAATCGGCTTTTCAGGAAGGTGAACCTCAACCCACACTGCAGAAAGCAAAATAATGTATCTAATAAGTATTTAGAATGTATTTAAAAATCATCAATCTTTACACATGTGGTCAGTGTGTTCATATAAATTATCGATACAACTTTTTTATTTTTTATTAAAGGTTAGGGGTCGATCACACTAGCCGTACGGCAAAATGCAGTTTTTTTCTTCATGCCCTAGCGGTGACTGGCGTTCATCTGGTGATCCATTTTAGGGCTTACACACATTAGATGTAGAGACATTCTAGTTCGTCCATCCATCGAAAACTATAATATAGGGTTGGGGGTGCTCTTCCTGATTTGTAGTTTAGAGGCTGTGGGGGGGTGTCCTGGACTGAGCTGTCAGCTGCTCTGTCACTGATGTCACTGGTTGCCAGGATCTCGGCGGGACGCCAGCCAGAGCCTCCCACTCAGCTCCTGGCGACCAGTGACGAGCTGGGCAGAAAGCTGCACAGAGCATCACTATTTCTTTGTGGCGTCAAATTTTAAGTTACATGGGTAATAACAAATGAAAACAGGAAGGCTAAACGCACCAACACTGTGTCTAAGTTTGTTGCTATTTGGTCTCCAAGGATACATTACCTACCTCCTCCTTCGTCTGATCTCTATTTAACTCTCTCATTTTAAGGTTCTTCAGACTCTTTTTCTCTCTGGCTCAACCCTGGGACCTCCGCTCTACCCTCCTCCTTTTCCTACTTTCTCCCTACTTTTTCCCTTTGCCTTCCTTTCTTCTCATTTTTACATAATTCAGTATTACAAGGCACCTATAGAACTGTTTATGTGCTCCACGGATCATCCCACGACCCTCCCACCACTGGAACACCTCCACCATTGGCTGCCCCTTACATCGCTACTGGATGCAGTTAATTTGCACTATTTCAGATGCATAAAAACAGAAGAAAAACAATATTACTTTGTCACAGTATGAAACACATTTGAGGAACCGTCTATTTAAGCAAAGTTCTGCAGAGTGAAATACAATTCCAGAGTGCATTAGCAAACAGTCATGCTCAGCAGCACAGAAAATGGCTGCAATTAATCATAAATTCTACAAGGTACAGCAAAGAGCGAAAAAAATGCAGCCATCAAAAGGCACGTCTCGACAAATGGATTTGCCAAAGCTCTAATAATGGTTTTATTGAAATTTAGATTACTTTGGCATTTACAAAACAGAAAACTGGCTATGTGGTTGCACATAGCCATCGTTTGTCCATCTGGAGAGAAAGCGAAGAACAGAAATCTCAGAGAGGAGAAGGGAATTAGCAATTAGGCAAGTTAGACTGCTGAAGGTGCCTGGAGCACTCTTCCTATACTCCGCTTGGCAGGTGAAACACAAATGATTGCCCAATGCAACGCTTGTGCTTAAAGCAACTCTGCCGTCACTTAAGAAATTAGCCTAAACAGTTTCCTGCAAAAGAAGAGAATATTTTATTTATCTCCAGCCTGTGTCGCCTTTCTTCCCTCAAGCGCTGTATCCTCCACCAGACTTGTCAGCATTCAACACTTCTTGGCGTGTCAGATGCTTGTGTCCCCTGTCACACTCTGAGGTTGCATCCTCTGATCCCTACACTACAGGACGTAGTAGCACTGTAGGGCATGAAAAAATTGAACCACACTGCATAGTATCCAAAACTCCTGGAAGTGTTATATAGGGTGCAGCACATGGAAGGACAGAAGGTAGAAGACACAGTCCATCTTGGAGGTAAGTTTAAAATATTTACTACTTGCAGCCAGCAGGTAGAGCTCTAAGCAAAGATAGACAACAGCTGACGTCTCAGATAGCAGCCGTTGTGCTAAAAATAAAACATTACAGTGCACACCGTCTGCACAAAACAAAGTGTAGACTGTTTGAACAATGTGTGTTAAAAACAGAGGATTTTGTTGCATACAATTGCAAATATATGTGAAGCCACACCAATTCCCCTGTGGTCCCTTACTCTAGATGAAGGGATTGTTCACACCAGTTACAGTGCGGTGCAGACCGGTTAGCTTCTGGAGCGCACTGTATTGCATCCTGGCTGGCTCCCTGCATTCTGGGGCGGGAGGGGGCATGGCGGTGCATTCACGCCAATGGCACCACAGCCACGCCCCCCTCATGCAGTGCAATCCCCTGCACCAGACTGCGCGGCACAACAATGTCTGCCTTTCAGCCCAGTGCGATCGCAAAAATAGTGCTTGCAGCATTTTTTGCAATCGCACTAGACTGGAATGCAGGCATTGTTGTGCGATGTGTTCTGGTGTGGGTGATCGCACTCCACCCCAGAATGCAGTGAGCCAGCCAGAATGGGATACAGTACCTGGTGTTAACAAGCCCTAACAGGACTTCTATCTTGGGAGCTACCCCCAAATGTGCCTTGGAGGTAACACTTTCTCCCTTGCTTCTTCCTCCTTCCTGCAGAGACATACCAAACAGCCAGACTTGCTTATTGGCAGCTGATGACTTCTAGTGTCAATCCGAGCCAAATCCAAAAAGCAATGTAAAACCAGCAACCACTCAGAGCAATACACACCTAGCAAACATTTTGCTAGGTATAAATTGATCTGAGTGCCATTTTTACTTTGCCTGTTGGATTTGGTTCGGATTAACACTAGAAGTCATCAGCTGCCAATAAGCAAGTCTGGCTGTGCTTGAAATAGCCTTGAATGAGCACAGGTCCACTCTCTACACTACACTCTCCCTTGACTACAAATGATGGCAGCGTCTTAACCAGCGATTTAACACAGTCAGACAGAAAGCATGAAGTACTAGGCTTTCTTAATAAAAAGCCCAGCATCATTTGCAGAATATTGTTCCTGCACAATGCTGAATGTTTATTTGCAAAATAAACATTTTATACAAAAGTTCACACAATTACAAAGAGTTGTTTTTAAGCCCTGGTTCACACCGGAGTGTTTTGAAGCTCAAGGCTCCAAAATGCTCAACAACCAAAATGACATCCTTATAGTGCCTGTTCAGATATAAATGCTCAATCACCTCTAGCTTGACGTCTGATGCTCAGAAAGGTACATGAGCTACTTTGGAAAGAGAATAGGGCATTTC